CTCCTACAGTTTCAGTCCTTCCCAGGCCCATCTCCAGCCACAGCACTGGTCATTGGAAAAATAAAACCCTCTGAAATTAATCATGCAATAATGGAGCTGTCATGATCCCAGTGTGCAGTCAAATTGAGCCAATTCTCAATTAGACGTGCACATTAGACGTTATTGCTTCCATTTCCTAATCTAATTAAGTTTCCTGTTTCTTTTTCCTCTGTTACCATTATTATTTAAATAATAGATGAAGTGCACGCCAAGCCTGTGGCACTGCACTGAAAATGCCTCTTTAGAGTCCCTCGCTCTCGTTGCCTTTTCCCTCCTAGATCCATGCGGTGTTTCAGATGTGCAATGTAAATGAGGGATTGATTGGACAAAAAGAACAAAATGACGTGCTAGGAAACCGCTTGTGCTGCACACACTTCAAAAGTCAATTGGTGCTTAACGTTAATCAGCTTAGCTTTTGTTTTAACTGTTCTTGAAAGATCAAATGGCAACCGGTGTGGAAGCACTATCAGGGCTGCGAGAGACGCCCGTGTAGCTGCCTTAACCCTGCTGCAGGTCTTTAGCGAAAAGAATATTTAATCCTGCCTGACAAGACGTAGATCTGCTTAATCCTTTTACAGGCTTGTGCATTAGACTACAGTAGGCCAATGGTCTCCCTGTGCATGTTGTCTTTGTGTGAGGAAGGAGCAGATGGTTACAAATCAGAAGCTTACTGTAACAAACACGGACACACCCCTCCTTCTGAATGGAAGTTGTTATGGCAAAAAAAAATCCAGGCTTGTTTTTTTTCTTTTTAACAAGCGGACTGTTAGAACCACTGTGTGTCTGATATATTTCTTTTGAGATGTTGGGAATTCATAAATGTAATATGATTATTTACTTGTTCATAGGCAGCTGTTTAGGAACCACTTTTGTACCAAGGACTGGTCGTCTGGTATTAGCTGTTACTGGGAACCGGTATTACCGCACAATCGTTGAAAGATCATTACATTTTCTAAATAAAAACATCGTTCAGACTTTAGTTAGTTTTTCTAAGTAAAAACATCGTTCAGACTTTAGTTAGTTAGTATCAGAGTCTGAATGAGCTGTTGTTTTGAAACTTTGCCAGATTATCTTTTAATGAAAAAAGGAAAGGGATATGACTGGATTCTTTTTTCCTAGTGCGACCTGGCACCGACTGACCTACAGATCGGAGGTGAGAGACACCTGGTTTAGGGGATAATAACAAACTTTGAAGTGATGTTCCTCTGGGGCTTGAACTGAGGACCTTCTGCATGTAAGGCAGATGTGTAAGCATGAAAACCACTGAACTATGGAATTTTCGAAAATGAACATCTGGTCATCAGTTCTATGGTTGAGTGTGAAAAATATTCACCATCACTGCTGCAAAACTCTCGGTCAACGGTAGTGTTTTTTTTTGGGGGGGGTTGTAGGAAGGGGTCATAACAGCATAATTACGGTGGAGCGTCTCATGAAAAAGAACATCATCATGTGACTGATTTACCAACATTTACTCAATGACACTGTAGCAGTCCAGCCACTGCTCCCGGACGTCAGATAGAACGAAAGTATGATCACCCACTACCCCTTAATTACCAAGTCTAAGTGGGTGTGAATTTGACACACCCATACTGATGGCTAAGAGGTCAGGGAGAGTATTGACAGATCATCATCACCATGTAATGTCTTCGCTGACAACTGACAACACACAACAGGTAATTTCTCATTAAGAAGTGATGCCAAGGCAGATGGCTGAGCTGCAGGAGTTCAGACAGACACTGTGCCAGTTGATGAGCGGGACTGAATTTTTTTTATTTTTGTCTTCCATTAGATGATGAAATAGCTGGTGTAGACAGGTAAATTAGAGGTGTTGTTGGGGGTGTTAGGATGTGGCTGTTATCAGGTACTAAGTGATAAACTTTACAATAACAGAGTAGCAGTTTTTATTCAAAGAGAGGAAACAAACACAGTGGCTTTGGCTTTGCCAGTTAAGTACGAGTTTGAAATCATCATCATTTGCAACTGTTTTTTTAATTTATTATAAGAGGACCTTTAGACTGACCTAAAGTCAGCTTATCAAGAGTGTATTTAATGATAAAATGTTTAAAATGTCCAAATAATTTGACTAGGTTCAAAGACAATCTTTAAACAATTATGAGACCTTTTTTTAAAAGAAAATAGAAGAAATCAAGACAAAAAGCTAAGAAATAATGTTGCCCAGGAACAGAGTGCAGCTAAATTTGTACAAAAAGGAGTAAAATCTGAAGAACTCCAATGATGAAGTCGAGGACGTCTTAAACTGAGTGCCCCCGTAACACCATATATAATGTATTTTTTGTACCATTAGGTTTTTTGCAATTTGGTCCATGATAAACTAAAAGCTTTTAGATTAAAATGCCATATGGATTGGTTATTATTGGACTGTAGGTTTAGTTTATCAAATAATTCCACATTGGGAAATTTGGTTGTTGAATGGAACAAAAGTTAGCCAGGGCGTGGCCTGTGTCTGTTACAGGGAGATAGCAGATTTTAGGATGCAGATTTTGCTTGGCCCCGATCACTTCATCTCCCTCTCTGTGCCCCCTCCACGGCCGAGCTTCTGTCCCCTCTGATTCTTGGCTGAGTAAGGTGAGGGTTCACACTGGCCTTCCCACAGTGAGCAGCTTTTAACCTCCTACCAGCTCCATCAATCTAGGGCTGTTGCGATCACTGTTGAAAGGGCCAGGGATTAGGAACAGCCTTCAGTCTGTAAATCACGGGACCTGGAGGGGGGCCCCTCTTGTGTTCATCATATAGTCCCAATAGGAACCATGGTATATGCCCTGTGACTTCAGTGCAGACATTGTTACTCTCAGCAGTTAAGCTCTCAGCAGACCTTCCTCCTCCAGATGGCCAAGTTGTTCCCCAATAAATGTTTAACGAGGGGAGAACAAATTAAATCAAAAGGCAGATCATCAAGCACAGTTTGAATAAAGTGTAATTCATCTAAGGTGTTAGCTTGGTAAAGTGATTTGGCCAGCACTGCAGGACAATGAGAACACATCCTCCTGTGGGAATTGGAACAATCCCCTGAACCCTTTCTTTAAGTCAGGCCAATCATATTATTAAAGCTCAAGTCAATTAGCATAAATAGCCAGTCTTTTCATTTTAATGTATGTTATTCTGAAACATCTGAAAAGTCCTTGAGGGGTTTTGTAAATGCCTAATACCTCTGAGACAACATCTTTCATTCTGATTAAGTGGCGTGGTATTTTCTTATGTCCACTGCACGCCGTCCCCAGTCTTGGTGGTAATGCTATCTGGTAGGTGTGGCGGGGGTCAGGAGTTGGTTCAGAAAGGTCAGTATTGAGTCACACAGCCGGTTTAATTCCATTACCATGAAACGTGCCTGCAAGTTCATCTCTCACCCAATGAATGAAATGGAGTCTTTTGTTCTCTGGTCAATTTTTCATTTAGATCACATGACCTTCATTGACCTCCTTTGACTATTCATTGCCTCCCACAGACTGTGTGTATTTAGTCACTCTGTAAGATCTGTGCAGTGGACTCTGAGGGACATGGATTTAATACAGTTTGATAGTGCAGCATATTTTGAAGAACCATAATGAAACCCTTAGTCTTGCTTAAGATCTACGGAGGATATATGGAGTTGTGTGTGTTGGTAGATGTTGATCCCCAAATCAGATTAATTCCACATGCATCATGTGTATGAAGTATGTAGGATTAATCTGGAATTGTTTTTTTTAATACTGTTTATGTTTATTCGGGTGTGTTTTTTTGTTTTTTTTTTTTGGTATATTAAGGCTAAAATATTTATATATTTTAAAGGATTAGGCTTCAATTTGGAATAATTTCTTTTGGTTGCATTTTTTTTACACAACAACACACACGCACACGCACCTTCCTCGTATTGACTGAATTCATTTTTACAGTGAATACACAGGCTGGTTGTCTTGTCATGGTGGCTCTATTTGTAAAACCCAAGTTTCTTTTCACTAAACCCCAGAAGGTGTTCATACATGAATATGTTTTTCCTTTTATGTACCCAAAGCATTAATGCTTTTTTGTTTTTAATTATTTTTTTTCCTTTTTTTCTTAAATAAAGACTCTGTGTTAAGCTGTTAAGCCAATTACTACGACACAGCCTAGCAAACTGGGTTAGAGCCAAGAAAAAAAAGACTAATGAGCTGACAACCCAGAGGACCTATATTGCACGCACACACACACAACTACTCACACTAGAATTCCCATACATTGGCCCTTTTTCCATGCTCCTCCCTGCTCCGGCTGTGCACTCTGAACCAATCATGTGCTCATTATAGTCCAGACTTTGGTCTGTTAGCTGGAGAATGGTCCTGTAGTCTGCAGCCTGTCAGTCAGTACTGTAGAACACGGACAGTTTAGTCTGACGGCAGGCTTCAAACACCGTTCATACCCCTGGCAGCTGTGTTTGCTGCAATAGCAGATAAAGGTGTAGCTGCAGTGTAAATCATTGTTATCGGACTCATGCAGACGAGTCAGAACAGCACAGTGGTTAAACAATGGAGCTCAGTTTAGCTCAACTTCGATGGTAATTTCGATTATATTCTCGACTTTGTTTAGAGGGAGATGTTTTTTTGTTTGTTTTTTTATTTTGAACATCTGCCCTGCATTAATAAGTACTCCAACACTCCTTTGTGTTTCATTCTTTAATTCCTACAGAACACCTCTGCTACACACTACACACCACAGACGTCAAGCAACAAAACATTTGACTCCCAGAGGACAGTATTTAATGACAGTATTTTTTTGTGTCACGGCACAAGGTGCACTGCAGTACACAACAAAGATCCCGTTGATGCAAATAGAAATCTACAGTGTGCCGGGTTCAGCCTGGCTGAGCTGAGTGCAGTCAGGCTCCCAGTCACGGGGGATTTGTTTGCGGTAGCGGTTTGCCTTTCTTTCCTGCGAGCCAGTGTGTGGGTGGATTCATGAGGGCCTTCTGTGTATCTGCTGTTCTCCAGGTACCACAATTTGGGTGCAGCAGAGAAATGCACTGAGGAGACAGAAGAAAGAAGCAAGAAGCTCTTTGTCCCAGACGTGGAGATTTACTGTGGAACCATGAGGTCGCTGCGTCGTGGAGCGGTCGCACTGCTGCGCTTCATCACCTGTGTTTGTGCCTTACATAGGACCAGTGCTCTGAATATCCCTCTGGAGGGTAAGTGCTGACCTGCTCACTCATATACACTCACAGAGGAGTCTTAGCTAAAAGGGGGAGTCCACGCAATTAACAAAAGCAGGATTATCACTTGTTATTTTTATTTTGTTTAAATCTAACTATTCATATATATATATATATACATATTAAGATGAATCCATATGTTGAGATTATTTAAATAGAAAAGATCAGATCAATAAATAATTTCAATGAGAGGAAATTTGATTTTTTTGTTTTGTTTATACTTACAGCAGTGGTTTAATAAACATAAACTTTTAATGGTTCAGGGTCAGGGGTCACAGGTCAAGCTTACGGGTCAGTTTTGTGTAAGCGCCTTCCTCACTAGTGAATATAAAATAACAATAGTTCAAGACTGTAGCAGGTTTGTTTCATACCTTTTTTTTTACAAACCTGTTGTCTATTATTTTTATGCAGTAAATAAAATATTCATGACATTTTCTTGTGTCTTCTGACTTTAATTGCACCGTATTTATAATGTAATGCCCCATAAAAAGAAAAACAACTGAATAATTTTGAGAAAGTGTTTTCTTCCAAATAGACTAATATTTTTCTCTGATTAGAATTGATTGTCCAGAATTGTTTGTTTTATTTGTATTTTGTATTTGTACATGTACACATTTTTTTATGACAAGACCGTTTTGTTTGTTTTTGTTTCTTTCTTCTGCTGCTGCTGTGGATTGTATAGTTTTAAGTTATGTCAACAGTAAGTTGTGCCGTACAGTATAACTGTCACTACTGACGTCATCATCATCATCATCGTCATCATCTGGTCTGTTCATTTCCTGTGTTAGCCGCAGACACAGCAGCTGTATCTTAATGTCATCACTCATATGTCATGATTCATAACGACAGTGATGTAGCTTCTAGCAGTCAATAACGTTCATGTGTTCATACTACAGTCACACATGCAGCAGCATGTGCTCCGTCTTTACTGTCGCTCTGATATTGTCAAAACAATGTCTAAGACCAAACTATAGACCAGACATAAGATCTGGAAGCTTCCACTTGGTTGTGGAAGCTTCCTTTTATAAATTTACAAGTTTAAAAAACTTATAAATGGTAAAATTCTTCTTAAAATAACAGCATAAAAGTATTAAATACAGTAAAAGAAAAAAAAAAGAGACATTTAATTTCAAACAGTTCACCTTAAGGCATGAGTTAAAATTAATTTAAATAAAGTGAAAAAAATTGCCTTCTCTTTTGTGAAAGAGAAATAAAATCTTTGATTGTGTTAAAGTTAATCATAATCAGAGGTAAGTATTCAGATTTTTTTTTTAATTATTTCATTAAATATTCTGAAGCAATGACCTTTTAACCTCTAATAATGAGGACAGGGGGTCAGAAGAAACCATTACTCTGTTGTATACATTGCATGCAGTAGAGGTCGGTCATCACTGCTACACTCACTCTCATCCACCATGTTGTCGTTCAGATTCCCAAAGCTTGTGCTGTATTTTTTCAGACTCAAATGTTTGTTCTTTTGTTTGTTGCCCAGTTGAGCAGCTGCCCACCATCACTGATCAGTCGCCCAGCTCTCTCATCGCCTTCCCTTTTGATGAGAGCTTCCCTGTGACGTGTGAGGCCAAAGGGAATCCCGAGCCAGAGTGAGTAATACATCTGCGTGGTTTCACAGTACAAGGATGACGAGGCTGTCTGGAGCCAAACAGACGACAGGGATAAACAACCCAAATGACAGTCGGCCATTGATCCCATGACTAGATTCACTGTATCTTGTTGCCCTGACTTTGTGCACTAAGTTTGGAAAAATGCTGCAAAACACTGTAGTCTGAGAGTCAGAACTTGACATTTCACCGCTGCCTTTTCTTTATTTAGATTCAGATGGTCGAAGAATGGACAGGAATTCGACCCTTCACTTGACCCCAGGTTAATAAAGGAGGAGAATTCTGGGACCTTTGTGATACCCAATAATGGGAACCTCACCGAGTACCAGGGAACCTATCGGTGTTACGCCTCAAACAAACTGGGTACCGCCATATCCAGGGAGATTGAGTTTATTGTGCCCAGTAAGTAACATACATCTGTGTGTGTGCGCTGCTATGTCAGACTGTGTAATGACTGTGCCTGACTATTCAGAGCTCTGTATTGTATTGGATGTGGCAGAAAGTCATTGAGTCCTGTAAGTGCCTCACCGATCAAAGCATCCCAGCTTTAACTCCGCTCTGGAGAAAGTCAGTGTGATCCAGATTTCCATTTCCATTTCTGTCTATGTTTGCCCTTCTTCAATTTGTTACAGAAATTCCTTGACTAAGTTTGGCTTCAGACTTCTGCTGCTCAGCACTGATGATTGGTTACACACACAGTTGTCCTAAAGATGTCTGTTTCGTTTCTCTTTCTGAAAAAAAAAAAATCCTACACAATTTAGTCTACAGAATGATACAAAACATAGACACAAGGCGTCACATATGGCTCAGAAATGTTGTTGTTGCCATCTGTTGGCCAGGAAGAGAACTGCATAGATTGGATCCATTCTTGTCCAACGCTTTTGCCTTTTATTGTAGATGTTCCGAAGTTTCCAAAAGAAAAACATGACCCTGTGGTGGTGGAGGAAGGTCAGCCTTTCACACTGCAGTGTAACCCGCCAAAAGGAATACCACCCCTGCAGATCTACTGGATGACCATCAGTAAGTTAGAAAACAGTTTGTTTTGTATATTGACGTGTGTTAAACAGTTTTTTATCTGAACATAATGGACATGATGATTAACATTTAAAAAAAATATTTGAAATTAAAAAAAATCTTTGTACATTTTACATCTACAACAAGATAAACACCAGGTTTTAAAAAGAGAGCATGTTAAATATTTTTTCAAAATTTTACTGTAGTTTATATACATTTTTACACTTTTATTTATTAATTTTTTGCCTTAAAAATAATTATATTTTTGTTAAAAATTGTTAGTAGTAATTATAGTTTACCAAATAACATTAAATTTAATTACATGTAAGTTGTTTCATATATTTCAATATTTGTATGTGAAATTAAATAGTACTTTAGAATGCCACTAATGCAGCTCCTTGTAAAATTATAATCCGTGGCTCGGTTTCAAAATGGTCTTTTGTCTGTGCCTAGGTCTCCAGCACATAGAACAGGACGAGCGCGTGTCCACAGGATTGAACGGAGACCTGTACTTTTCTCACGCCATTGAAAAGGACAGCAGGAGAGACTACTGCTGCTTCGCTGCCTTCCCAAAAATAAGAACTATCGTTCAGAAGACAGCCATGTCTGTCATTGTCAACACCAGTAAGCGTCTCTTGTCTTAAAAACACTGCTTATATCAAAAACATTTTTCTCCAGACATTCTTTTGGGGGTTCAAAGCAGAACCTCAGCAGCCATCTCAGTCACTTGTCCTTTCACATACACACCTTTTTCATTTTATTGTTATGGTTTTTATCAAAGTATTTGTGAACGTGCAACCACATCCACTCTGTCTCCATGTTCATTATTTTTTATTCTCATCCACCTCCCATTCAGAGAAGAGTGACATGACTGATGGAGCCGGTGAGTTTTGTGTCTGTCCATAGTATTGTAGTACTGTAGTAGTGCGTCATCACTACAGCAATACATGAATTGTCTCACGACCTGCCCTCTTTCTGTAGCTAACGCTATCCTGCAGAGACGGCCCTCTCTTCTGACGCCATCTGGTGACCAGTCACAGCAACAGCTGGTCAAAGGAGAGGACCTGAAATTAGAATGTATCGCTGAAGGAATGTGAGTTCATTCATGATAAGAAAAAAGTCAAATAATTGACCAGACATTTTTTATCAAAATTGCATGGTTTTGTTGAAGTAATTAACTTTTTTCTCACTGTGTCTTTTTATTCCTCTTAGTCCAACTCCTCAGGTTGAGTGGTTGAAGATCGGTCATCGTCTTCCACCTAAAGCCATGAAAGAGAACCATGGAAAACTGCTGATTGTACCAAAGGTCAACCAGGACGACAGTGGGAAGTACATGTGCAAGGCAAAAAATGGAATCGGAGAAGCTGTGCATTACTTCATAGTTAGAGTTGAAGGTATCATTTCACTGCTGACTTTTCTCCTCCTTAAATGAACAAACATCTGTTGCAGAATCACCTTTAAATGTATGGCTACATGAATAAAATCAGATCCCTGATTAAGGATGAGTATAGTGACAGATTGTCTTATAATTTTTAAATATTTTTGCCATTTCATTTTTAGCGGCGGTACATATAATCACCTTCAGTAGTGAAGCAAAGAGGAAAAAAAAACTAATAAAAAATGATGCCAAAAATGTGTGACAAACGTTATAATGTTGTAGGACAAATGACCTGACAAGTTCTAACAGGCAGTGAGTCAGTGTAGAACAAGAACGCTGTCTTTCTCAATAGAAACATTGATCCGTCACGTCTCCTCCACCCTCCCCTCCTGCCTCATCGTCAGTCTCACCACCTGCACCGGGGTTTTCTGTGTTTGCCCCTCCTTAGATTACCTAATGTGCTCCACCTGTGTCCTGCCTTCAAGCATACAACACTGTCCTTCACTCATCACTTCCCTGTGACACTGAACAATGAGGAAATTTAAATTTTTGAGTACAGTGTTAAGTACTGACACTCAAAGTAATAACTGGTGATTTTGCGATTAAAAAAATATATTTTAGAAAAATACATTTCAAACTGTAAGACAGGGATCTCAAACTCAATTGAACTGGGACAGTCACCCCCTCAAAAAGGTCAAAAACTACCAGCAACTGGTCAGATTACACTACACTGACATCTAGTTTGGGACTGCATGAGTGTTGTTCACCGGCCAAAAGTATCCCGAGAGTCGGGAGTTTGAAACCCTGCTGTAAGGTCATGTTTGTCTGTGTGAACAGTTGTCTCCACTCTCTGTTTCTCTACACGTGTTTTGTTTTTTTCTTCTTACATTCACACTCTTCCGCTGACCAAACTGTGTGTCCACAGAGCCTCCAGAGTGGGTGTTACTGACCAACTGTCTGTCTGTCCACAGAGCCTCCAGAGTGGGTGTTTGAGCCGGAAAGTCAGCTCAGCATGGTGGGCTCAGATGTGCTCATCAGATGCTCTGCCACAGGGACGCCCAAGCCAGCGATAACATGGAGAGTAAACGGCGTTCTTCTGCAGGGTCAGTTCCTCCCAGCACCCCTCCCTGTTCATGTTTTCTGCATGTGGTTGTTTTTTTTAGTGTATGCAGCCAAAGGACACAATCTTCAGTGTCCAATCAGAAACCTAACTCTAAATTCTTAAGATGGTTTGACTTTATTAAAATCAGTTTTAGAAAATGATTTTTCTTTGTGGTCCTACCAGCAATAATGGTTTGGGGGCAAATGCACTGTGGCTGCAGGGTGTTTACTCTTCCTATCTGTTTAATAATGAAGGGAAATATACTTTAATTCTAAATATATATTCTATAAGAATTGAATTGATTTAATTTGTGGCTGAATCAGGAAGAAATGTTTGAAATGTGGTTCTGTAGAAACACCTGTATGGCTGAACTCACATCTGTGTCTCTGCAGATTTATTACTGTACAATAAATCACAAATGCAGTTCTACCAGGACCTAAGTGAACACTGACTAAACAGTTCATTACAAACTGCTTGTGCCACTAACTATTAGGAACACCGTTTAGAAAACCTGCACGGTTTCTTAAATATTGACTTTGTTTCTCTGTTCTTCAAGAGCGGAGAATGTATAAAATATAAACTATATGAGGAGTAAACAGTGTGTCAGAGTTGGTGGGAACATCACTGAAGCCATAAATACTAAATGGTTGTTGGAAGAATAAACTGTGAAATGCTGTTAGAATAACCCTGAGCTGTCAAAGGCTCAGAGTGTTTTAAAATTGACTTTCATCCACTGGGACGCTAACATGTCTACGAAAAAAAAGGGAAGCAGAGCAGAACAGACTGTCATATAAAGATGCCACTCATAATAGAAAATAACTGGGTTTTTAAAAAAAACATTTTTTCTTAACACCATAAAAAACTGGTTAGCGGTTAAAATGTTGAAAATACATGTGTGGTTTACTGTTGTTGTTTTTTATTCAAACCTGCTGTTTCACAGTTTAATACAGTTTTAATTACTGGAAATGACATTTCTAAGCCAGCTGTCAATCATGCTGGTTGTGGTGGATACAGCTGGTTCTCTGACTTTAGCTCCACAGAGCTCTTTGGAGCTGTACACCTCCAATAAGTGTGACAACTAAAAGATAATCATAAAATCACATATTTCAAAAATTGACCTTTTATTTTTTGTTCTGCATCACAAAAATACATCAAATAAATCAGAGCAGAAAGCAGCCACCCTGCAGATGACTAAAAGATAATCATAAAATCACATATTTCAAAAATTGACCTTTTATTTTTTGTTCTGCATCACAAAAATACATCAAATAAATCAGAGCAGAAAGCAGCCACCCTGCAGATGAACACACCCATGAACTCCCTGAGGCTCCTTACAATTGACTGGAGGAGGAAACAAATGATGATATACTGTATGTCTGGAGCCACGGCCGCCTGTTAGCACCAACACAAAAACTGTGTTCATTTCGCTACATTTCGAAAAACTCACATGAACACGCGTGTGAGATTTGAGTACTGGGGTGTAATGACAGGAATCTGGTGATACGATGAGAGTCACGATACAGGGGCAACGATACGATGTACTGCAATTCCTGCGATACTATAGGTACGACAACATATTGAGGTTTTTTTAAGCAATTTAATTGTAGGTAAACTGTCAGCACAATAAACACAATGGTGTTACATTAATATCAGGTTACTAACAAAATAAAATGAACCAGTTCCATAAATATTTTCATGGCAATAGGTAATAAAAAAGTGCTATAAAATGACAGGAAATGACGCAATATTTTCTTATACCGCAATATTTTCTTGCACCTCTAGTGTGTACTGTAGTTCCAGATTTAACGTATGTGGTACCACGACACACATCCTGGATGCTTTTCATTTCAAGCTGCTTTTATTTGTGTGTGTTTTTGCAGACTCTCCTGCGGAAAACAGAAAGTTCTTCGACGACACTATAGTTCTGTATAACGCCAAAGCGTCTGACAGTGCAGTGTACCAGTGTGAGGCCTCCAACAGACATGGAACGCTGCTGTCCAACGCCAACATCATGGTCATGAGTATGTATGAACTCTAACTTCACTTTTTATGTTTTTGTTAGTACACATTTGTGCCTGTCTGTCACTGAGAGATAAACTGCAGCAGACGTGTGTGTGTGTGTGTGTGTGTCCATAAACCAGAGACAATTGTGCAGGTGTGGCAGCAGACGGGACTGTGGTGGAGCTGCAGTGCCTTTGTTAGACACATGTGTCTCCCTCTGGGGCAACAAGTGGCGTTCCCTGACATTTACTGTGTACGCTAACAAGATCAGCCCCAATCCCCAGGATGACGTTAGTGTCATAAGACCAACGTGTGCAGCTTTATGGGCAGAGATTAAAAAGAAAGAAAAAAAAAATGGAGAAACTACGTGGATTCCCATTGCTCTGTACCTACATGGAGAGTTTGTTCTCAGCACCGAGCGGTAATAACACCTGAATGCTAGGTCCCAGATGCTGCTGTGCCAAACAATTAGAGACGGAGCATTTTAATTGAAGGCAATGACAGAGACTGATAAGATGCGGTTCCTTTAGTGGGTTCATTCTGCTGTCTTCTATGAACAGCCGTTCGGTTCAGACACAGGTTGGCGTCACTGTGACCTTATCAAACCATAATTAGCTCTGCATTTAGGACAACTGTTGTCTGTGTTTACTCCGTGTCCAATGTGTCCACTGTTGTCCTTACAAACTTTGGCTGAATTGTCTCTGGTTATTTCAGATTTACCTCCTATGATTCTGACCAAAGAGGGCGAGGAATACTCTGCTGTGGAGGGGAAGGGAGTGACGATGCACTGCAGGGTCTTCAGTTCCCCTCCTTCCACCATCTCATGGTATGAATTAGTAGTCGCTGCTTAGGAATGGGGGGGTTAGGACGACTCCGAGCGCCCCTGACTGATGGGACCCAAATAAATATTCATGCATTTTAATATTGCTGTATTATATTGCTTTGAGACATTTCTTGGGTATAAGTCTTGCATTGAATAATGAATTCTGCACAGAATGTAGAAATATATCCATGTTCTTAAGTCTGTTACACAGGGGTCCATCCAGAATTCCTAGCAGCAGCCCTGGAGTACTGATCCAAACAGGATCAGTACTATTCAGGACTATTGGTATCAATACCAATGTATAATGAAATTGCTACTTCAGATTCAGGCTCAAAATTAAAAATCTAAATTAAAATCAAACCAAACAAACAAACATTATACTAAATACCTGTTTGAAAATTATTCTTTTTGTGTTATTTCTGAAATAATATACTGTATGGATAATGTATTTGAAGTATCAGGTGAGGTAAAAGGGATATTTTAATTCACTCTTGTATAAGGAAAATATAATAAAATATTTTTCTGATAACATTTAGAAACTGCCCAACTGGTTTAACATCTTGGCAGTATTGCGCATCACCACTGTGCGTATCTAATTGCACTTTGTCTCCTTCACACCAGCAGGAGGCAGTAGATCCCAACTGCACAGCGCACACGGTCCTCATTTGTCGCGTTCATGTTTCATGCCGTGGTCTCCCTGAAACACAACACACATTTTTTTCCCCCTCACTTTATTTTTGCCTCCAGAGTGTAGTGTTTATCTGATAATCAGTAAATTAATGCAACATAAAAAGGATCTGAAGAAAATATATAAAAGTGATTGTTGTTTCACAGATTGAATATAAAACAGTTTTCAAAGTACAAACAATATTTCAGTTACAAAGATGAAGATAATGAAAGTACTGTAGTATCCCTCATACTATTCCTGTCAAACATGTACTGTAGGAAAATACCTTAGCTACTGCTTGTCATTAAATATTAAAACATTATTTTGTTCATTGATGGCTAATGGAAAACACTGACCCTCATTGAGAACTAAAAGTTCTTGTTCTTTGCTCTGTGCCTTTAAAAAAAGATTTTACTAATGTGTTCTAAACTGTCATTTGACATCATAGTTATAACATGCCGTACAGTATGTGGTGCATGACTAGAAGTCCTGACATGGATCCTAACTCATTCCCACCCACGTAGTTTCCTTTCGTCACAAAGGGCTGAAAATGACTCATTCAGGAAACTGCAGTTTTCACAGAAACTCTGCAATAAGAAGCAATCTTTAAAAATAAATCCTTGAAAAGATGACAACACTTCTAGGAATGCAGTATAAACTAAGATCTGTGATTCATTTAACAGGATAAACTTTATGTCATTGGCCAGAAAAACCCCTCGCAAATAGTCATTTAGGTTCCAGTACTGTTAAGGTCATTAAATGGAAGTTGGTTTGAAAGCAGTGATAGGATTGTTCCAATGATTCCTTTAAAATAACTTTAAATGTCTTGAATAAATTAAATATATATATAAATATATATATATATATATATACTGTATATATTAAGAATATATATAATATATATTTTTTCTTATATAATTTAGTTGATAATTAGTTTAGATGTTTATTATTCTTTGAACCGTAAACCTCACGTTCTAACTGAGGTTTGTTTCTATCTACTTCTCCCCCTCAGTCCACTTCATTGTCTGTCCCTTACTGTGAAGTCTGGACAGACCATTGCCCTTTCTTCTTGATAAACAACCAATTTACGCTGACATTTCGTGGTGCACTGCACCACATTTCTTCATTTTTTTTATTGCACTGCAATAATAAACATAATGACCTGATTTACATGCATAAAAACAGACATTTACAGCAAAGATATTCAGAAGCGTACTTGTTAGCCAACAGTCTATGATGATCAACCTCTGAAACCCAACATAATTTATATTTATGTTTTTTACAAGGTTTTATCTATCGATTTGGTTTGATCAGTAGCTAAAAAGTAGCTAAAACTCAAAACGGCATATTTTTATTAATCACAAGTAGAACAAGTAGTTCTCAGTGTATGTATACATATACAGGTATATATATGTTTATATACTGTATTTATGTATTTACATACATGTGTCTATTTGTGTGTATATATATATATATATAGTTATATACTGTATATTCAAGTTAATATGTCTATATTCAGTATTGACACAAATATGGATATATGGACATCTGTATATATTTATATATAGATGAACAATATGTGGTGTATACTGTGTGCTATTCGTTTATTTATTTGCGTCCTGTTTCAGGAGCAAGGATGAATCCCCTGACTCCATTCAAGTTCAAGAGTTGAGGTCTACTGTTCATGACAATGGGACACTGGAGATATACAGCGTTGAGAAAGGAGACACAGGCCAGTACACATGTTGGGCCAAAAACATAGAGGGGTCCTCTGCCATCGAAGCTCAGCTCTATGTGAAAGGTGAATGCATTTAGATGAAGAAACGCTTGTGGTGACTCTAGACTTCGGGGTGTATCTAAAGCTGTATTTGCCCCACGGTAGATCCCACTCATATAGTCGTGGCCCCAGAGGACCAGCAGATCCTAATAGGCAACACGGCCCAGCTCTCATGCCAGGCAGAGTACGACAAGTCCTTCAGCGACGACTTTGAGCTCCTGTGGGAAAAAGATGATGTAGAGATAGCCCTTAACTACACCGAGGATTCAAGGTGGGATACTTGATGTTATTTCATTTTCTTACTTCCTTCTGAGACTCACCGACTCAGTCCCAGCTGAAAATTCACACCCCCCCAAAACTTTTTTAACTATATTTACTCCAACAGATACCTGATAGAAGATGGAATTCTTCACATTGTGAATGTGAGCCACGAAGACCAGGGCGTTTACACTTGTGTGGCACGATCCTCGGTGGACCAAGATACAGCTTCAGCACTGCTATTAGTATTAGGTGAGCTCACACACCACAGTGATTTCACCTCCAGGAGGTCAGAGGTCCCTGGTGAGGTTTCTGTGGATGCACCTTTAGTATGAAGACGATCGCTGCAGAACAGACAGACTGCAGTGCAAACACTTCCTAATGATACGTCCTTTTTTACTCGCCCCACAGATTAATGAATTCTGTTTTGAAATGTTTTTGTGATGGTTTTTAACAGACGTCCCTGATGCGCCTGAGAACTTGGTACTGACCGAGCACAAGGGCAGAAGTGTGAAAATAAAGTGGATCCCTGGGGACGATCACAACAGCTCAACCACAGGTAAGTCTGGCTGAAGTAAAGTCTCATTAAACCTGATGCCAATTAAAAAAAAAAAAACATTAAATAAGATAAAGCAGATTTGAGCACATGGTTGAGTGACAAGCACTTTAGTAATTGTATTGTACAGTAATTGCACTCTCTATCCGTTCATGCCGCTCTGATACACATTAGATGCCTTTGTTATTTGCACATGCTGTGGGA